TGAAGTGCCAAATCTATGTAAATGCTGCGTCTTCTGGTAAAGCATGTTTTTTATTCTTTTTTTCCATGTCTGTCAATGACCAGTGATGTTAATATGAAAAAATACACTCACTATTCAGGCACTGGTAAACAAATTTACAGAAATCTATCCCTGACTTGTTCTCTGTCCGGCAAAGAAAATGTGACAGTTCCCTCTGCACCTACTTAATAACATTTTTAGACAAAACCATCTTTCTTCAATTAAAAATTTATTAGAGGAAATATTAAGGGAGGCTCAGTGATTGTCCTAGGATCTCATCAATCAGTCACAGTATCTGACTGAGTAGAACAAAAGATAGGAAAGGTGGTTCTTACTAACAGACATATATTTCTCTCATTTTCATATATGGAACTTAGTAGTTACCAAATATCAAGAATGTATTGTTGCTAGAGAAGGCTTACTGTATATCATCATGGAACAATATGCTCATCTGTTTATTACAATTTAATTTACATCCACAATGTTTTGCAGAAAAGTTTTGCAGTCATGTTCTCTTACTTTGTCCATTGTCAGCTCAGAAATAATAATATGACTTCAACCATACATAGCAGTGTTCATCAGGAAGGACACCACCAATGGGGATCACTTGCCCATCTCTGTTAGGCAGTTGTCTATGTGTAGCATTTAGTTACCATGCAGGAAACTCAGTCCTGAAGGTTTTGGAGTATTTCTTTAAAGCAAGAAAAATGAACAATTTCTAGGAAGGGAAATTTAGCTCTGGAAATTCTGATGACTGCCTAACTTGATCTCTGATTTGTCTTGCCATTTTATCACAGAAAGTAGCCAGAAATGACAACATATTGGAAATTACTACTTCTTTGACTATTGAGGATTATTTCCCATTGTAATCAGAATCAAGAATTATCTCATAAACATTAATTTTTGAGGAATAGTGGTGTAGAACTCAGCGGCCATAAATTCAAAGAGTTTCAGCTAAGTTTCCCCATTTCTCTCCCATTAGGGAAAGCAAGTTTCCATCTGCCATGTCCTGTGAAGGAGGCTGGGCTTTTACTTATTATACTTGCTCAACTCTGGGAGACACAGCAGAGCCATAGGGTGTGCATACACCTCCCCCCCGAAACCCAGAACCCTTTTAGGAGCTTAAGTCCCACTAGAATCATTGAGAATTAGACCCCGCCTTCCCAAACTTGTGAGGAGCCTGGACCTAATTTATTTGCAAGTTCTAGGCACATAGTTTGTCATGATGTGCAGAGCTTCCAGATGAGGCTATTCCTGGATGCAACCCCACTTAAGTAGCAGTTTGAAAGAAAGCAGTGAGGAAGCAATATTCTAATGCAGAACCTGTCTACAGTTATCCATATGACTTTTGCTTACGGGATATAGGAGGACAAGAATTCAGAAGAGATTTATGGAGAGCAGGCTTTAAAAAAAAATCACTCTCGTTTTAGAGATGATAAAGGTTTCATAGGTATTTTCTATACTTAAAATTAGGAATAGCTCTAGAACCAGGACAACTGGGTAGAACTTGGAGTACAGTCATGGTACCAGTCCCTTCATTGCTGCTCTGCTTTATTTTTAATTATTATTATGACTTATCAGTTATTAGTAGTAGCACTCAGAGTTCCACTCAGATTAAGCCCCGTTGTATGAGGTGATACACAAACATATAGCAAGAGGCATCTTCTGCCACAAACTCACTCCAAGGCACTCTATAAAATATCTACAGAGAGGTTTCTAGCAGCTTGGGGAATGGTGGTACACAGTAAAGTGTGACAAACAGCCCTTCTTCATTCCTACAAACCCTGATCTGTGGATGCAGGTTCCACTTTATTCCCAGAAGATGTGCAAGCATGTGTGCTACTGTAAAGTGAGCATAAAACTATGAATTCTCCACCTTCTCAGATGATTTGCAATCTGGAATTTCAAAACCCTGTTTGCTCCAGACCCCAATGAATATTGCAGTCTTTAGATTAAATCAGAGCACCTTGCTTTCCCTTCTTCTTGAGACCATTCACTGAACTACATGCTCTAGCACTATCTGAAATTAGTTTTTAATCTTTTACTTACTTTGGAGGTATTCTAACAGACTTCCATGTCTCATCAGCTCAGTAATAATATAAATTGGATCCTCTAAAGTGCAAACCGCATAGAGCTGTATAAGCTTCGGATGTCTCAGGTTCTTCATTATTTGTGCCTCCCTCAGGAAGTCTTGTGGATCCATTGAACCTGAAACAATAACAGAAAAATAAATCAGTTAAAGTTATTAAAGGCTATCCTACCTGCCCAGCAACCTTGTGGGAATTACAAAGATTGTTTTCTGTCTCTTTGTAAAGTGCATTAGCATCACAAATCTTCAAACTTATTAAAGAATCAAACTTATGCAGCTGAACCTAACAACTAAGTTAAATGTGTCAGATGCATGAGGGCATAGAGCACGCATTTTATAACCCTTAGACAAATAAAGGTTAATATTGCTACCTGTGGGACAAAATGATAGAAAGACTTACATTTTAATTAATATAACAAGGCACATGGTAGATTCATAGATGTTAGGGTCGGAAGGGACCTCAATAGATCATCGAGTCCGACCCCCTTGCTCAACAGGGTTCCCATATTAAGGTCCAAAAAGGCAGGGAACAAATGAATATTTAAACAGAGTAGAGTTTGTTAAACAAAAAAATAATGAGAATACCAAAAACTAACCCAGGAGTATAATGCATGATGTCAGTTTTACACCTTTGCCACTTGAACAACCAAAGAAAATCAGTAAGATCTCTCTATCCTATAAACACTTTACTGTAAAATAAATATCTCATGTGGAACAGCCTTATAAGGAACTTCAATATATATTATTATATTTCATGCTCATAAGCATTTTAGAGTTAATGATCTTGTTAAATAAGTTCTGCTGTATCCATAACCACTATTGTATAATTTAAGCATCTGGGTAAATTAAGCCATTCAGAGATAAAGCAAACTGCCAAGGTTACATGACAGGTAAACAAGTTATTTAGGCAAAAATAAAGGAGGAAGAAAAATATTTCACTGTGGAGAAAACAAGGGTAGAAGATGAAAAGTGAAAGTTGCTTTCTGTACTGTATATTTAGAAGTTCTCTATGGATTTGAGAAAGAAGGGAAATTATATATGTACTAGTATTGGTTGAGTTTAAAAGCAGTTAAAATTGTTCAGGTAATTATTCTCCCATTTCAAAAAAGCATAGTTTCAACAATAACAAAAAAATTATTGATACCTCAAAACTAGAGAAATTACAATCGGCTCTAGACTGACCTATGCCTTGTGATAGTACTTTTCAAACACAATCTGTTTTCCTAGTCTCAACAAGGCTGAGTCACTCTGGAAGCCAGGAAGGTAAGATTTAGAAACTTTATTTTTTTAACCTTTGGTAAGTGACAAGGTTTATTTGTGTGTTTGACCCTGATCCAGGCAGGGGTGTTTGAACTAAGTGGAACATTGGAAGGATACTAAGTGGCTATACTACAAAGAATCAGCAAGCAAATCTGTTTTAAATAGGGAGCGGACAAATAAACTTGGACTGCCTCCACCAAATACCAGACATTGGTAATACCTACTGAAAGGAGATCCAAGCCTATTTCCAAATGAAGAACTATGGCTTTTGAGATAATGTCTTCAGGTCAATGGCCTCTATGTCCCTAAATGGCACTGAACCAAGCAGCCTACATTAATAATTAAACATAGTTAGCAATTCTATTACTTATGCAGTGTGGACATGTAAGCATCCCACATCTACTGAGTCGGCTATTCACTGGCCAGGCAGTTATGTGGCTACATACACATGTACCAAGACAGTACAGGAGGGGATCATGGCACATCCTCCCATTTTGAGCCCTAATTGCTGAGAGATTAAGGACTTACCCAAAAAGCGGGAAGACAAAGTTCTAGGGCAGAGACATAGAAAGGACCTCTTTGGCTGGCATCTAGCACAGCCAGTAATCATGAGGTTTGTCCAACCATGTGACTTATGGGGTGCACTGGGCATGTGTACATAACTATGTACCTGCCTGGTCAGCCTATAAGCTACTGGGTGTACACAGTAGCTATGTAGATGCTTACATGTCCCACTGATTTGATAATAAGAAAGGCCTGATAGAAACAGACAGTTACCTTAAGTTGACTCTGAAATTTGTGATGGACACTTGCTCCTCTTATGTGATGATTCACACAAAATTTTATAGGTCATTAGAAGGGCTTGTGAGATATAGCAGATTTCAATGCTATTGATAAGTGGATGGCAGTCAATTATACATGTCCTTCTTAAACAAAGACTATACAAA